CGTTGCCGTGTTTAAAACGGTTTACAACTGGCTGGTAGCAAGGGTCTGTTTTATTGTCTCTCTCTTCTGTCTCACCCGTGTCTAGACTGTGCTTTTCATACAGTAAAGCGTTCAGGGAAAGTTGCTACTGGAAATGTTATGAATGAAATGTGAATGTCGGTCTGAATGGGAGTGAATGCAGGAAGACCGATACTGGTGGTCTAGCCCCTGGAACAATGACCATGGATTTATCAGTCTGTCTTTTATGTTTTTCTGTAGTAATAATTATAACACTCGTCTTTAAAAAGCATTCATTTTACAAGATGCTGCGTATATAGTGTTGAACACAAGAGGCACTTTACCTGCCTTGCTGATGCTTTTTCTGTTGAGAGAACTCTGGTAAGAAGCCGTGCTGAGTGCTGTATGGTCATTGGCTCACCTAATGTTCACAATAACACTACGAGCTATGAACCGTTTTTATCCTCACTTCACCAAAGAAGAAACTGGGGTAGGGCACCTGGGGGGCTCAGTCGGTTAAGCGTCTGACTTTAGCTCAGGTCATGATCTTAGGGTTTTTGGGTTTAAGCCCCGCGTCGGGCTCGGTGCTGACAGCTCGGAGCCTGGAGCCTGCTTCGGATTCTGTGTCTCCCTCTATCTCTGTTCCTCCCCTGCTCACGCTCTCTCTCTCTCTCTCTCTCAAAAATAAACATTTAAAAAAATGTTTTAAGAAGAAACTGGGGAAACCAGGGCTCAGAGAGACTAAGTAACTTATCTTAGACCACACAGCAAGCATGTGATATACACACGGACTGCTGGAGTCCAGATTCCACACTCCTAGCCTCCTCGTCATGGCTGTGCTGTATAGTGGTGATCCATTCTCCCAAAAAATACACGGAAGAACCAAACTGTGGATTTCTCAAGCTCTAAAATAGAAATATCCGTATGTTGCCAGCTGTCTCGCTGGAGTCTGAGTAAATCTGAAATGGAAATAAGTAGGTGATGGACAGGGCCCTGGATGCTGCGTATAACAGATCTCCAGAACTTTCTCGTCTTATTTCCTTGAAACTCTATGCCCTTTACTTAGCATCTCCCCATTTCCTCACCCCAGCCCCTGGCGGCCACCACTTTATTTTCTGACTCTGTGAATTTGACTATTTTCGACTCCTCCCGTAAGTGGAATCACACATCATTTGTCCTTCTGAGGCTGACTGATTTCACTTAGCATCGTGTCCTCGAGGCTCGTCCATGGTGTCACATATGACAGGATTCCCTTCTATTTTAAGGCTGAATAATATTGCATCGTTCTGTGTTTTCTTTAACCCTTTCCTGTTCATGGACACTTAGCTTGTCTCCAGAGCTGGGCTGTTGTGAATAGTGCCATGCACATGGGGGTGCACATATCTCTTAAACACCCTGGTTTCGGTTCTTCTGGTTAAGTACCCAGAAGTAGGATTGTCCGATCATATGTAGTTCTATTTTTAATTTTTCAAGGCACTTCCATACTGTTTTCGAAAGCAGCTGCGACATTCTACATCTGCATCAACAATATACAAGGGGTCCGACTTCTCCACATCCTCACCAACACTGGTTTTTTGGTTTGTTTTAACAAAAGCCATTCCCGGTGGGAGGTGATAGCTCACTGCATGTGTGCCCTGGAATTCTTAGTCATTTTTTTAAACACATGCTAAGCACTGTTTTAGGTGCTCGGTCACAGGCACAAAGTCTGTGCACATAATACACCACCTTCTAGCAGGAGGTAATTCCCTGCATAAAACAACCTAGACCTGACTCTCCTACAGCTCTCCTGCTGTGTTACAGTTACTTGATTAATCACCTGATCTATTCATGGCTATTAGCTCTTTAGGTCCAGAATCAAGTTTCCATCCTGGAGGTATACACCCTAGCTTGTGGACATAGTACTATGCACATGGGTGTCTGGTCCATATACCTTTGTAAAAAACTAAAAACGGGACGCAAATTCCACGTTCCGATGATGGCTAAGAAGTGCATATTTGAACACAATACCATTTAAATATTCAAAGGAAGGTGCACAATATTAGGAAGTTGCTACAGCCTTCAGGGGCGCCTGGGGGGCTCAGTCGGTTAAGCGTCCGATTTCAGCTCAGGTCATGATCTCGCGGTTCGTGAGTTCGAGCCCCACATCGGGCTCTGTGCTAACAGCTCGGAGCCTGGAGCCTGCTTCAGATTCTGTGTCTCGCTCGCTCTCTACCCCTTCCCTGCTCGTGCTGTGTCTCTCTCTGTCCCAAAAATAAATAAAACATTTTTAAAAATTAAAAACAAAAAAAGGAAGTTGCTACAGCCTTCATGGCTTTGAGGAAGATAATACATTGCTTATCTTTTTTTAAAAAAAGTTTATTTTGAGAGAGAGAGAGAGAGGGAGAGAGTACGCACAAGCAGAGGAAGGGCAGAGAAAGAGAGAGAGAGACAGGATCCCAAGTGGCTCCCTGCTGTCAGTGCAGAGCAGGATACAGAGCTCAATGTCACGAACTGTGAGATCATGACCTGAGCCGAGATCAAGAATCAGATGCTTAACTGACCAAGCCATCCAGGCGCCCTGTATCCTTTTTGACCATAGGTTAAAGTCCAATGGAGAAATGAGAAGGAAATAAAATATTCATATTTCAAATGTATATTCAAAAT